TCTAGTAATGTTTTAGAAATTGAGAATGTTGAATACATCATTTTTTTCCAATTTATCTAACAAATAAAACTTTCTCTTTTTCCATTGTTTTATTTTGTTGTTAAATGTAGCCCTATATCCTTTTCCATTTCTCATACCTCTTTTTTCTGTTGTATCCGCTCTTTAATCTTCATTTTTTCACATTGTTTTTTCATTTATATCACAACTTCCTGCTTTAATTTTTTTCTGCTTCTGTGAACACTCATAGTTTTAGTCAGTCACAGAATAAAATAGAGAAACTAGGAGTTATATCATCGACTATTTTCTATTTCTCTGAATGTGAACAGAAAAGAAATGACATCTGGTGTCAGATCTATACATTTATGAGCATAATATACATTGTGGAGATAAACGAGAGAGAAAAACTAGATATATATATACGTCACTTATTCATATTATTTTAATCATTGTATTACGCAGTCTACTCTAGATTGAACGGAGAAAAAATGTGCTTATTTTGTCATTTAGTAATAATCGAGATGTGATTAGAGAGATTTCTAAGTTGTTTAAATTGTACTTTTACTCTTTCTAACATCCATAGGAGTTCTATCTTATTCTCTATCATCTTTAGTTTTTTATCTGCTTAAATCTTCATACATATTCAGTTTGATTGAATTCTTTAATGTATAGAAGAACGCCAGAAGATACGGTAAGTTGATATTTAATATCTATTTTGTAATAAAGAGTAATAGATAATTATGATAGTTAAATGAATTACTTAAGTAGACGATAGAACCATCACAGTATGGATAAATGTCAATGAGCTAGTGCAGATGCGTTACATGTCTCTATTCTCAATGAGACACATATATGTAATACTCGAAAGTTGAACTCAACTATTCAGCTATTGTGGAGGGCGACGGTTATGATTGGTGGGCATCGACCTGAGTGTGGGTAAGGACGATAGTATGATTGATGGGTATCGAGTTAAGGAATAGAGTGTAAGTGTGGGTGATGGTTTCTCTTCTCTACTCACAACTACACCAACCCACACCCGGTAAAGCTATTTCCTGGTTTGCGATAGTAGTATAGTGTTGTAAAAAACGCTTTATAAGTCGCTCTTGATTAAAACGAATCATTTTTATCTATAAAAAAACAAATATATCCATTGAATTAGCATTAAATGAAAGATTCTTAGTTTAATTTATCTAAATAGCGAATATTGAGAAAAAGGAGAAATATGTTTGTGTCAAAACTTTCACACAATAGGTTAAATATCATTTTAGATCTATTAATATCAAGATGAATATCTTTTTATTATTTAATGTCGTTATTATCACTAGCGATGTCTTCGTGATATCTAAACTAAACACATGGCAACCTTTCGACAATCTTTACAATACAGATGTAATGATTAATGACATTTCTCATGATTGTTTCTATTTAAGTATAACTGACGAGAGAAAATTAAATGAAAAAGAATATCAAGTTCATCAAATCATTGAATATTGCATCCGAACATCTATGAAAAAAACAGAAGTAAACAGTGATGGAAATTCAATATCATCTGTATTAACTTTCGATGAACTGAAGAAGAAAAATGTAACTGGAAAGAATCTAATGGAATGGTCAAGTCCGATTGATCTTATTGAACGATACGAGCATTTTTTGCAAATGAACAAATATTCATCGAACGAAGTATTTTATAATTGTACTCGACCATGGTTTGGATCGCTCTGTCAATATAAATTCATTGAAGATCAACCATTTCCAAAGATGATCGAAACAATAGATAATTGGAATGATCAGATTCTATATGTAAATGCGACTTTTACTTGTTATATGCATTTGAAATGCAATCGTGGTTCACCTTATATTTGTCTCGATTGGCGTGAAATATGCGATGGAAAAGTGGATTGTTTCGATGGTGGAGAAGATGAAAAATATTGTCTCGAACTTGAACTAAATACATGCGAAGACAACGAATATCAATGTCGAAATGGAATGTGTATCAATAAAGTGTTTCTGTTAGATGAAGTGTATGATTTAATTAGTCCAGAGTGTTTAGATAGATCCGATGAATACTTAAACAAGGATGGTGGTATATGTAAGTTTATTCCACTTTTTAAATGCGAAGATATCATGTCTCGATCCAGCTCTCATTTTACTTGTGGAGATGGCAATTATCTCTGGGACTATATACCACGCAGGAGATCTGGGTGTAAAAATAAGCGAGATCAGGTATGGAACTTTTTAATCGGTTGGCACAATAATAAAGATACACGATTTCCTCGCTGTTTCAAGATTCTCATCTGTACATCACTTATATTTTCATCGGATCAATTCGATGAGTATTGCAAACATTTATGTGAGAATATGAAAGAATGTAAAATACAAATTGTTCACTCGTGTCCAGCTGCATTTATTGCACCTTCTATACCTGTGTCGGGTGATCATATTCGATTAGGCTACTTTTCTAATCAAACATTTAATAATCGTGTTGACGCCACACCTATGTTTATATGCTATGATCAAAAACGTTGTCCATTTCTCTTACCAACATTAATAGTGGAAAATTATACATGCATACATATAAATGCTTTGAACTTGTCATCGAACTCGAAGCTGTACGAGCCATTTGTTTTATGTAATCAATTGTTTGAAAGTGTAAATGACACCCACTGTTCAAATCCGACAATGTTACGTTGTCTGGGAACAAATAAATGTATTTCTAAGCGTCGAATTATGGATGGCATTTCGGATTGCTATGGCAATTTCGATGAGTCAATTTCAGCTAATTCATGTGCATTGAATGATACAGATCGCTTTCAATGTACATCGGAACAAAAATGTCTTCGACCTATTCTCAAGGGAGATGGGCATGCACAGTGTATGGGAAAAGAGGATGAATTTGCTCTGGATGGTATCATAACTGATATATATGAACTTCCTTTTTCTGCCATTTGTGACAATTGGACTGATATATCCAGTTTAACAAATGAAACTGATGAAACTCATTGTGAAGAATGGCAATGTGTAAATCAATATACACGATGTAATAAAGTGTGGAATTGTCCAAAAGGCATCGATGAAATCAACTGTTCATCAAGTTCTATGTGTCCTGCAGATCATCATCCTTGTGTCTTTGAAAAGAATCGAACAATGGATTGTTTACATATAAGTCATGCCGAAGATGGAATTGTCGATTGTCTTGGAGCAACTGATGAGAGATCTTATTGTAAATCACAAAATCCGAAAGATGATTTCAATAGTTATCGCTGCTGGAATGACACAAAATGTGTTCAAGTTTCCAATCGTTGTGTAAGTTGTAATAAATCTACCGATATCGATCAATTATGTGGTCATTTTCATTCGAAAATTATAACCTATTTAGAATCCGCACGAAACATTCTCTTTCACAATAAAACATCGTTCTCTCATAAATCTTCACTTAGTTTTCCTTCGTTGAAATTACCATCAATTGCTCAAAATCATACGCAATACCATATAATGGACAATATGAAAATCGATACTCGTGTATATCAAAATGATCCTCGTGCACTGTTATGCCATCAAGGTGTTGTAATTCTTGCTGATAAAGATGAAAGAGTACATTGTCTCTGTTCATCACATTATTATGGGAATTTTTGTCAATATCAAAATCAACGTCTTACACTTACTATTCGAATACGTCAAGAAAGCTTAGAAAAATTTCATGTGATTGGCATTGTTATTAGACTTGTTGATCATACTGGTCTTATTCATTCATATGAACAAATTACATATCTTCCTTTGATTAATTGTGATGCGAAATACAATTTACATCTTCTTTATCAAGATCGACCGAAGAACATGTCAAAGAATTATTCACTCTATATCGATGCATACAATAAAAGAAATCTCACTTATATTACCAGTTGGATATTTCCCGTTCAATTTCTTTTTATGCCTGTTAATCGTATGAGTGCTTTGCTCACAATTCCAGCAGATCAAGACTGTCGTCTATTATGTAGCGACAAATATCTCGAATCGTTAAGAAATATTAACACTGATTCGTGTCAATGTCACTCAGATCAAACAAATTCGATTCAGTATAAATGTAACTGTTCACCAGACTCGATCTGTGTTGGTTTTATCAATAATCGATCAATTTGTCTTTGTTCTTTGGCAAAAGTTGGTCCTCGATGTTATCTGAATTCAATTTGTCAAATGAATACATGTGAGAATAAAGGTATTTGTGTACCATCTGATCCTCGACAGTCGTTGGCTAACTTTACCTGTGTCTGTCCAGAGGGATTTTCTGGGGAAAATTGTAAAGAGAAAGACGTACAAATCGATATGTCATTTTCTGATGTAGAACCTACCGGATCTCTATTGATTCACTTCATCAAAGTGATAAAACTCATAGAAATGAGCAAAGATCAAGCACCAACTCGAATAACTATTTTTAAAAAAATTCAATTTTATCAAAAGATAATTACATTTTATATGGCATTGGAATTTCATCTTGTCTTCCTTCAACTTGAGAATGTTTATTATTTGATTGTACTTCAACATGAACATACACCTTCAATTGTTATTTCTACACAAATCTCTT